TCCTTCTCTATAGTAAACTTGAGGGCTTGATGACATTCATTGAATGAACGAAGCACGTCGTCGAGGTCTACATTTTTGTCGCAAATAACAAACGTGTCGTCCATATATCTTCTATAAAAGTCAAAGCTATCAATAGTTTGACGAAGTTTGAATTTTCCAGTTTCGACATGAAGAAATCTGCTAGCAGTGGTCCCAATGGTGACCCCATCGCAATTCCATCTTTCTGTCTATAGATTTCATTATTGAAACTGAATTGGACATTAAATGTGCACCTCAACAAAAGCTCTTTCAAGCAGCTCGTTGGTAGTCCTACGTCTAAATTATGTGCATCAATATAGTCACATACATAACAGACAGTTTCGGTGAGTGGCACACTCGTGAACAATGAAGTGACGTCTAATGAAAACATCATCTTGTTTAGAGCATTAAAATCCTTAATACCCTCAACAAACTGAAATGTATCACGGATAGAAAAACTCGATACTTGCCTTCTAACAGGTTCCAGAATTTCAGCTAACCATTGAGCAGTTCGGTGATAGGGAGAACCAGCCATATCGAGGATCGGACGAAGAGGTAATCCCGTTTTATGTATCTTCGGTAGTCCATATAGACGTGGGATTATAGAGCCAACCGGTCGGATACGTTCATATAAATCAGGATCAATTATTGATTTATCCCTCATGTTTTTTAAGACATTTGTGAGTTGTGTTTCAATTATATGTGTCTTATTGGGCTCACCTTCGGGTTTACTAAACTTAGTGGGATCAGAGAGGATTACGGAAAGTTTATCAGTATACTCCTGACGATTCATTAGGACAATGCCTCCTCCCTTATCAGGACGGCTTATGATAATATCCCTGTTATCTTTGATTAGTTTTAGCTGTTGTATATGGTCCTTGGTTAATAAAGAGCTAGAACTGATTTTGGAGTTGATAAATTGGTGACAGCAATCTAGAACAGTGGACTTGAAATGCTGGAATTCTTGCGGCGATGCAGGCGTAAGACCGACAATCTGGCTGATTAAATTTTCAAATTGTACTTGGGTATGTAATCTGTTAACCTTGGATGCACTGCTGCAAAACTTTGAGCCCAGCGATAGGGCTTGCATTTGAATTGTCGAAAGATTAACGTGAGAGTGGTTAAATACATACTTTTCTGGATTATTCGGAAATTTACTTTCCATTTCAACTGGCTTCAGACCATCGGAGTGTTTAAGATTGGCCGACTGAGACTGTTTTTCTACGACTGTAATGACATACTCCTCGAACTGTTTGCGTTCATCAGTAGATAACTCATAAAGGGCATGATTTCTCGTGGATATATTTCGTTTTAACTCAACAATACGAGAGCTAATGGCATCAATACGATTAAGTGCATGACGCTTCAGTGTTTTAGAATTGGGCCGGATATGGTTTCTCCTAAGTGCTTTCCAGAACAGTTTCGGATATTCATTTGTATCAATACAACTTTCGAGGAAAGTAATCTCAGTTTTCACCAAAGCAAGTTTGACAGAATAGCGCAGAAACCCATTAAGTTCCTTCATCGTCATTGGGTCCTTGCATATTTTTAATAATTTAATAATTCCCATTGTAACATTAAGAACAAGATATTCAGCGAAGAGACTCTTTTCAACGAATTTATTTTCAAGCTGTACAATCGTATATATATGGTATTTGGAAAAAATTATATCCTGTGAGGAAAACTAAACACTATATGGTGATGACAGTAATAATAGAGCGGGTGATGACATAGGCATTTATGATTATAATAACAATTGAAGTGCGAATGATAACAAATAGATTATGTAATATATGGAATGGTACATAGAGAGTATATAACTCAGAAGGGGGTGAAAAAATTATTGAAAATGGTAAATCAATTAAGTATTATGTAATGGCATCAGACAAATTGTACAAATTGTATATTTAACACTATCTATTGGGAAAAAAGCCTCATTTGTGTAGTGACAATGTGTCAGTCTGTATTTCAGGCATTTCAGGCATTTTATTGTTCACTACAATAAAATGAGCACAGAACAAAATGGTAAAAATCAAGTGAGAAATTTATGATTACTTTGCCAGTATTATTGCAGCGAAAAACTTGGTCTTGAAACATCATCTAGTAAATGATAGTGTCCAGCTGTGTGGGGCACCTACCTATCTACACACTTACATAACTAACTAACTAAAAAGATAAACAAATAGATGAATACCGTGAAGTGATTGTGATGGGCTCCAATTTACCCTCTGAGTATTCTTCTACTCTGATTTCTCTTTTGAAAAATTGACAAGTCTTCAGATCTCTTTTTGAAAGGGAATGAATGTACACCACAGTACTTGATGAAACCATTATTAGATTCATTTTATTGACTCTAAATCCAAAATCTTTGAATGCTTGTTGACTCGCATGCAGCAAGCGAGTTATATTTGCTGTCAGTATTTTGCCTATTATCATAAGACGCATTAAAAGACTAACATAGATAAAAAAAATGCCGTGTCACTTATATAATAGTGGAGCTTGAATATTGTGATAAAGTGTAATTCCCCCTTTAAGCTGTGTATTTGATATATCTCATAGCGAAACAGTATTAGTTATAACATTAGGCTTCGTGTATTCTCATGTTTCAGCAAGCTGAATAAATTCATGCATTATTCTTTATCAGCAAGAATAAGTGAGATAGTCATCACTTAGCAGAATCCTATTAGTACTCGTTGATGATTGAAGGTGGAAAGAAAGTATAAGTCACAAAACGATTTAAATCACAAACCTCCGAGTTGTCGGCTCCTCTGTGAACTACCAAATGAACCACAACGTTCGGCTGCTGAACACATACTCACTACACGCCTTTCTGAAAATAAAGTCATCCTTCCAGTTACACCTCAGTCCTTCTCTCCTAATATTTCATGGTATCGTGGACACACTTTTGCCCATTCCGTTCACCTACCTTTCTACACTCACTGTCTTTATTATACAAGCATCTTATTTCACTCAGACACTTCGATCATGCCTGCTTACTTGAACCTTGACATACCGAATTTATCCCTTCCTCAAGTCAATCACAAAGCAGAGAGAAAATGTTAAATCATATGGAAATGGAAATTTCGGTGCTGAAATGTACATCATATTTCCATCTGTCAGATGATTAGCTTCAGTCGCAGATTTTGCATCATCCGAATGAAACACCACCACCAACGCCACCACCACCACCACTACCACCATTCGTCATTATAAACCGGTTGCCAATCCACAACCACCTGGTTAATTCACAGTATTGCCTAGAGTACTCTTATTAAACAATATCATACACATACAATAACCCCTCCATCTGAAAGGATTGTTCTGCGAGTGAATTTGTAACAGAATTAAATACCGAGAATTCCATACCGTCACCCTTATTGTTTCCAACAAAGCGAATATTATTATCATCATCATTATCATGATTATTATTATTCTATAATAAGTCACATCATGAAGCAAACAACTTCATGGACAAAATCTGAAATAATACGCAGAATAAGTGATCTCATTCAGCATGCAATTATTTCAGAAGTATAAGTCATACAGAAATAAGTCGGAAATCAATAGAAAGATATTAAATCCACCTGTGCGACAGTGTCACCAATTGAGGCGTAAGTATAATATCTTTGAAAAAAACAAACCATTACCATCGATAGTACCTATTTGAGATTTATGCCTTCAGTATTCTGACGGACACAACATCCCACGCTTTTCAACCACCATGTGAACTGAATCTAACACGAGTTATTTACAATTCATCACCAATCAATCTTTCTTTACACCCCACAGTGTTATGTAGAACGAAGACTAACGACTTCCCACAACCTCATTCAATCTGATATACTTTTCATTTACAACTGAATTACATGATCACAACGCACCATCAGTAATAAAAGTTTAATAACTCATTCCATGCAAACAACTTGCAATGATGCATGATAACTGATTTCATTTGACAAATAGCCATTTCACAGCACAGGATCGACTGAGAAGTTAGTGAAAAACTCGTGCGACTAGCTATACAACGATACTACAAATAAAGAAGTCAAGTATTCAGTGAGATGTCGTTGACACCAAAGAAAACAATAAAGTCAACAACCTGAGACTTCTATTCGAATATCTCTGCTCTGTCATAACAATATGTGCGAGGAACTACTATAACTACTACCACTCACACTACTACTACTGACGTTAGACCCATATTTCATGCTTTTCGATACATGAAGCTTCTTACCCCATTGTCACAAGTCATTCTGTCTCATCCACACTTGAAGGAGGTCACTCGTGACTCGAATAGCTCAGTGGAAACATCTGTGATATGTGTATTGGGTAATGCATGTTCAGATTTCAGGTGGGACGTCAATTCCCTTGAGGTAGCAGATACGCCTTACTGACGAGTGGCAAGTTTGACAAGTAGGAACGGTAGGTTGGATATGCCTTTCTGATGATTGCCTTCATCTGACTAATATCTATCCCAGTGCAAAGTGATGATGAGTCTCTCGGCTTGATTTACACATTTTAAAGTAATCAGTTGTATTCTTTCAGTATTTAAGACTAGACGACATAAGTTTGATTATATAATACTTCACAAGGCGAGGCTGAAGATAATTTTTAGTAAGGTAGTGATAAGTCTTTGTATCGCTATTGTTGTTGTTAGTATATTAACTTGTCTTTTAGAACACTCACTAGTATAAACCCAACAATATAAGAATATATCAATTAGAAATCTAAAATTAATACTGACTAAACATGAGGTAAACATTTCTGTTTTAAAATATAAAAATGTATGGCATACTTTTATATTGTGCATTCTTCAAGTGTAGATTAAGTATACACAGAAAAATATATATTCCTGAATGTTTAAAGAAATATTTTAACAGTGCCATGTAGGTGATAGGAAACAATAATGTTGATAACTTTCTACTGTTTAGATACAATAAATTTTCTGTTTAACACTACAGAAGTTAATGTTGTATATGCTATTAAGCTGTTGAACTTCTTTCAACATTTGATATTGTAACACAATGAAAAGAGATCAACTGAAATAGAATTTGACGAAACTTGTTAATACGACTGAAATACAATAAGATATTTAATGATGATTGTAAGAAGATTAAAATCCATGAAATATGAATAAAAAAAGTTAATAGACGAGTATATTCTATACTTGAATCAGTAATTGTTGTCAAAATCATGTAAACTACTCCACTAGGTGCTGCAAATAGAAAAGAAAAAATATTTAAAACAAGAAGAGTAATTATTGGTGAAATATTCCCTTTTTGTTTAGAATTTGTTTCATTTCCTGTAGGACGATTATGTGACCAATTTATCACTTTCACTAAAAAGAATACATCGAACATAGTGACTAGTGTTATTTGTACTAGACATGAATTTGAAAATAAAATTTGATAAAATGAAAGTAACCTACCATGATCACTGAACCAACATGTGTAAAGCCCATAAGCGGATATTAAATCGGTGAATATTGTAATTGGTAATGACATTAAAAACGTAATAATAAAGATTAGAAATATAAGTACTACAGTGAAATAACCTGGTAGATTATTGTATATTAGAGGTTTATGCATAAAAAGTAAACGATCAATTGCCAATACTACATAGATATTTCCTCGAAGAATACAACAGAAATATTGAAAAAATTTAAATAAACGACAAATAATACTTGATTTAGTCATTAAAAAGTAATATATATTACCTGAAGTTATAAATGGTAAACCATAGGTAGGGAAAAGCCATAACCAACCCATAAAGATATTAATTGTAATGTCTGATATTGCTAGAAATCCTAAGAATGTGAATTGTCTATTTACTTGACGAATTATAATCAGAAATATTAAAGCAACAATTGAATTAGTAATCAATCCAAGTGTACCAATAAATGGAAATATATAACCCATTAAACTTCCATAGACTTTTGCAACTCCACACATGAATATACTTGCATTTGGATGACCTTCTTCTACCATTATACAATCGATTAATGTATCCCATGGTGTAGTCAATTCTGTCCAATTTGATTTTTCATACATACTACTTTTCAATAAGATTTCTTACAATAATAATAACAATTATAGTTAATGTATTTTCTTCTTCTGAAGTTATAAAATATTATTGTCTTATAAAAGTAAATGAAAGGTATAATGTATGTAAGCATTATATAGAATTTGTAATTTTGAAAACTACTTTCAATAATTTGTTTTCATGAGTTCGATATACATAACTATTGGATGAAATATTTCAATAGATAATAGAATGTAGAATTATTTAACTAGGGCAGAGACTACATGACCTAAATCAACTGATATAGGAGATGACCTAATTTCATCTCTTATGAATAATATAATAGACATGCATGTTTAAAATTTTGTATTGACCAAATAAAATGAATGCCATCATGATATACCATTACATTGCCTAAACTGAAAACGATGTCTAAATACTACAATTATTAAGGTAACTAACTAGATTGAGTTAATTATCTTCAAAATGTATACAATTTTAATAATCTAGTAAAATTGGAGAATTTTAAAAGATATCCCTACAATATCAACTAAAAAGATATTTATACTGGGTGATGATTGAAGGTGAGATGAAAATCTGAACCATGGCAGGACTCGAACCAGCGACCAACTAGTATAAATACTAGTCTGCCAAACTACGGTTATCTCAGACAGTCAAATGATAAAAAGATATTGACTTTAGGTCTAAATTCATCACAAAATGACATAATTTGAAGAAACATTTGAAGCCTGGGAGCACTGGATAGCTGTGTGAATCTACGACCCCTCCAGGGATCGAATCCAGGACCTTCAGGTTCCGTGGGCAGTACGATACCACTGACCCACTAGGTCAGTATCATATGATCCATATCTCCTATTTCTACCACTTCAAGATATAAGGCGACCTACATCGAATGTCGTCATTGAGTAACTGTCCTCGTGTTCAACTAGGTTAATTCCACTAGTCATGACTTCTCATTGGAACTACAGGGATCGTCTATCGAAGCTAGTCACCAGTGAGTGAAGGATTAATTCTATCTGGAGGTTTGTAGAGACAGTTACTCAACTACGATAATGGATGTAGGTCATACTATATCATGAACTGATAAAAGTAGGAAATATGGACCACTGGATTCCAACCTACTGGCTCAATGATTTCGTAATGGCCATGGAACCTGAAGGTCATGAGTGCGCCCTGCTGAGGAGTCCTAAGACAGCTGTCAAGTACTCTCAAGTTTGAAATGTTCCTTCGACTGATGTCAGTGCATGATGAACTCCAACCTAAAATCAGTTAATAAATCTCTACAAGATGGTAGTTTGTAGAGAAAACTCTTGTGTTAACCTATCATCAAGGCTATGCATTTCTATAATAATTTAAACATACCATTAAAAGTGGTCAAGAAAGGTTGAGGTTTGCTCCCAATTAGTAATGTATGAATAAATCTTGGTCACTAAGGTAGAGTATAATTCCATATTAGATTACGTATGTGATACATTAAAAATTGCAGGATATTATTTACTGGATATTCTATTTCTCTTCCCCTTATATCTGCTCGAACTAGAGTCCAAAAATAACGATGCTTAGGTATGATGTAGCTTTTTTTCATCCGATGTTAAATATAAAGCGACAGTTTGTACATACTTCTTCAGTCTATGAAAGTCATACAAATATATTTACTGATCTTCTAACAGAAAGACCATAAGTTTCATGAATGTAAGCGTAAACCTTGGACATTGTGGTAGAATAAAATTCCTATAAACTTAATCTCAAAATCGCCACCTGGTATCTGTCCTGTATATATTTATCAGATAAAGCAGCCAATTACGGTCAGTTGAGATAATGCAGCATAAACATTAGGCGAAATGTAAAAGTATAAACTCTATTGGGATAGGTAACTTCGAGAAAGATTTAACGATCAATTTGCATGAACTGTTTCACAATCATGCTATGGTAAGGGATTAGGCGACACTTCTAAAATCTAATGTCGTTAGATGGAGGGAGAGAGTGATCGCAAAATCACTGGTGGATTATTAAAGGTAACCGACTTAATGTTGTCTGGTCATCACTACTGACCGAATACAACTAATCATTTTGAAATGTGGACTCCCGGATAGATATTCGCAAGATGAAGGCAATCATCAGAAAGGCATATCCAACCTATGCTTCCTACTTGTCAAACTTGCCACTCGTCAGTAAGGCGTATCTGCTACCTCAAGGGAATTGACGTCCCACCTGAAATCTGAACATGCATTACCCAATACACATATCACAGATGTTTCCACTGAGCTATTCGAGTCACGAGTGACCTCCTTCAAGTGTGGATAAGACAGAATGACTTGTGACAATGGGGTAAGAAGCTTCATGTATCGAAAAGCATGAAATATGGGTCTAACATCAGTAGTAATAGTAGTAAGTACACTAAAGAAGTAAGTTACACTGCCAATGAAAATTTCATGTATGAAGACCAAGTTAATTGGGAAACATAGATAGGAAGGAGACTTTGTCATTGATCTGAAATGTGAAGTGTATTTAACAAATTAGTGTGAGTTGGATTAATGTGTAAATGACGAGTTTGTAAAGCTTTATGATATTGACTTCAGCACATTAATTGAAGAATGATAATTTACAACTCCATATTAGATTTATACATTTGGTATACATTCAGCAGTGATACAGTATTAATTAACTTGATGATGACGTTTCGAGGATAAATGATTACTACTCATAATCACATCAGTGTAATCATACAACTTCCAATAACTAACTGCTTATTTATGGTCATCTCAACTCGTGTTCCTTTCTTCACTGGTGGTGAACAGTTGCGAATTTCCAGTGTGAATGTTGCATGATTCCTATTAACTGGGTTCGGTGTTGATTCGATGAAGAAGGATTCAGCAATCAATCTCTCCCTGTCTCCACCTAATTATATTAGACTTGCGTACAGTGGTTTCATCCCTCCACTCCTATTTATCGTGTGATTGTGTATTAATGCATGCGTGCGTACGACATTGTAATAGCTGAGTGTTGTTCTAGCTTACTGATCTTATTCCAGTCTGTCATTGTATATTCAGCTAAATATATGGCTAAATTCTGTGCTGCGTTATTCCAACTGATCCTGACCAGTTACTTTGATCTATGGACATAACCACATATTGATTGCATGGAATTTGATGGATTAGATTATTTCGGTTAATCGGTTATATGTGATCCGTCGACTGACAGTGTTTACCTCTGTGTGAGTTTGTGTGTTCCGATGAGACCATAGTTCCAACCGTGTTGAGAATCTTATGTAAATCTTCTGATGTTTCTCTGTTATGGGTGGAGCACAATGGGGCTTCCATTTGCTTTCTACTAGTGCTGTTGTATTAAAGTGAAATTTAACTTGATAATCTCTGTCTACAACAAGTTTACATCGCAGTTTACCTCCAGAGGATATACTCCATTCCAAATATGAGTTGTGTTAAGTGTTTGGAAATAGTAATTAGGCTACTCCTCAATACTTTCATGCCTACTTCTTACCACTAACACATATATATATATATGTGATGATAAATGCACTTGGTGTTGTTATGGAAGATTAAGCGGATGGATTGCTCTCATTGTGATATGGTTTGATGTGCCAATACCAATCAGGATTAAGGGAAACTTGAGAAATCTTCTTCTATCCTATTCCTTCTCACACACTGCCTCCTTCTAATGTATCCGAAGCAATGGCAGTCTACTCTACACGACACCTACTCATTCGAATTTTCACTTACATCTCAAGTTATCTCATCCTATCTCAGTTGAAGTAGGCTTGGTTGGATGTTTGGGAGACAGGGCTGAGACGATTCCTGTTGGGACAGGGAATCTGAAACGAGGAATTGAACACATAGAGAATGCCTCACTTGTCGACAATCACACATCTAAATTTGCCAATTAGGTCATGAGAAATTGTTGGGAAAATATGATGAGTTGTGATGGTAATGACACAGGTCATTATTAAAATGACAATACTATTATTATTATTTATTATTAGTCCCTTGGGTTCCTAGTGGAACATAGGGCTTCAGCAGCACGTCTCCAGTGACCTCTGTTCTCTGAGATCTTTTGAACCTGGTCCCACGACAGCCCAGAAGCTCTCATTTCCTGCTCGCACGACCTCCTCCATGTCACCCTCGGACGTCCAACTCGTCGCTTCCCATGGGGATTCCACTCGAGGGCCTGACGCGTGATGTCCTCCGTCGGCCTTCTCAGTGCATGGCCAATCCATCTCCACTTCTTCCTGCATATTTGTTGCGTGATAGGTTCTTGGTTGGTTCGTTCCCAGAGTTCCTTGTTGCTTATTTTTTCTGGCCATCTGATCTTCAGCAGCGAGCGTAAGCAGTTGTTGATGAATGTCTGTAGTTTATTGGAAATACCTTTCGTGACGCGCCAAGTCTCTGAGCCATACAAGAGCACTGACTTGACGTTGGTGTTGAAAATCCGTATCTTGTTCCGCATGCTGAGTGCAGAAGATCTCCACACTGGTTTCAGGCTGATGAACGCCTGTCTTGCTTTTCCGATTCTGACTTTGACGTCCTCGTCCGTCCCGCCTGTAGTTGAAACAGTGCTTCCTAGATAAGTGAAGGAGGTTACTTCCTTTAAGTTTCTCCCGTTGACGGTGATTGGAGTTTGTTGTTGTTGATGGTGGTGGTGCGGTATCTTCATCACTTCTGTCTTCTCTATATTCACCTGAAGTCCCGTCTTCGCTGCCTGCCTCTTCTATCAACTTGTTAGTTTTTGCCTGCAGATCTTCAAGTTTATGTGACATTAGGCATAAGTCATCGGCGAAATCCAAGTCTTCTAGGTTCTTTTCCGTCGTCCAGTGTATCCCCCTCTTCTCGCTGCCTACTGTTTGCTGCATGATCCAGTCCACCACAATCAAGAATATCATGGGGGATAGTAGGCAACCTTGTTTCACTCCTGTCTTCACTTCAAAGGCATCACTGAGCTTCCCATTGTGGATTACTTGGCATGTAGCATCTTCATATAGTTGTTGAATGAGGCG